CACATTCTTCATGTATATGAAGTATGAAAACAAATAAAACTAACCTATCTTATAATAGAAAACAGATAATTCATGTCTTCACAGAGTAGATATGGACTTGGGACAAGGAAACTTTCTGAGGTATTGAAATGTTTCATACTTCGATATAGTAGTGGATATATGTATGCATGTGTGTCTACATACACACATATATACATATATATGTAAAAATTTACCAAGCAATTTAAATACATAAGTAAATCAAATGAAAAAATCATTTATAAATTGTGTAAATCAACTTCAACATTTACAGCAAATGCTAATTTTAATAATCCATCCTAATGAATAAGGAAGTAAGCTTTGGAACTCCAGTAAAAGCAAATTCTCCATATACCCTGAGCACACACACACACACACACACACACACACACACACACACACACACAACTCCCTGCATGCCTGGTCCTAAATTATTAATAGCTTGTTCAGCCCCATTGACCCTCATACCTGGAAGAGATTTTCAATGTCATTTAATTCAGTGATTCATCTGAAGCTTGTCTGCAGCTTTCCCTCTGGGTGGCCATTCTACTTTTGTGAACCAAAGTTCCCTGGTGACCACAATATGGTTATGACCTCCTGAGAAAGCCCATCACTGGGCAAAAATCCTTCATTGATCTTACTTGTAACCCTTAGGGTCTTGCACTTAAGTAGACAAAAGATTGTGCTGTTACTGTTTACTGTGAGCATCATACTTTATCTTGTATATACATGTCTTCTAAAAGCTGGCATATTTTCAGGGATATTTGTCTTGATTTTTCCCTTCTCCTTTAATTAATTACAACACATCTTCCCACCAGGAACTCTATTTTCTCATATGCATCTCTCAGTAGAGAAGAAATGTGGATATATTATTCTGCTTAGATAGCTCCTCAGAATCCCTTCACCTACGTGATGCTCTAGGGCTAAACACCCTTGGTGTCCCAGTAGTTAGCCTTTCCCATTATACATACAATGATTCACAAGTTCACAGTTCATTCACTCATTCAACACGTATTTATTGATCATCTCCTATGTGCCATGAATGTTTTAGGATATAGTGATAAGCTGAAACAGATGTGCTATCTGGCTCCTTAGGGCTTTCACTCTATGACTGTTAATCAAATATTTACATAAATACATGTAATATCTCAACAACTATGATGAGAGCTGCCAGAGAAAGATACATGGTGTCATGAAGGCTTAAAATAAGGGAGTTATCAGTGTCAGAGGAACCTGTCTGGGAGAAGCAATGACTGGGCAGAGGGCAAATAAATAAGGAGGATAAATAAAATAAGCTAGGAAAAGAGGAGACACATGTCATTTCAGGAACAGAAAATGACATGAGCTAGGCCTTATAGTAGGGAGGCAAAAGGGAACATGCCACATGCAAAGACCAGAAAAAAGGCCAATAAAGCTGGAGCTGAGAAGGCAAACAGCAACACTACCTGAGGTGAGCCTGGGGAGGCAGGGAAGAGCCAGCCTATTCAGTAGCTTTGATCTGGGGAATGGTCTGAGGACACGTAGGCTTCAAATGCTGTAAGGGCTGTTTCTTGGAAAGTAGCTAAACAAACTAAAGAGAGAACAGGTCTGAGAGAGCACTGCTTAAATTAGTAATTTTGGAATAGAAACATTACCTCAAGGTCCAGGGCATGATCTGGAGACAAGATGGAATTGAAGTGGTTGTAAAATATGACCAGGTCAAGGAACTGGCAGGCCAAGTGTTGGGTGGTCATTTTCTTGGACACTGAAATCACCCAGGGTTAGGCCAGCCCTGAGGTGGAGATGAGAACCATAACTCAGTGCTAGAGGCTTTGATAGATGTGGGAAAGTGACCAGGAGGTCACAGATAATTGAGAAATGGCCATAGTTGCCATGGGTCTGTAAGAACTTATAGAATTTCTCTGTGGGGAATTGGGTCTTCTAAAGGTTAATGCTGATAGCCATCACAGCTGAGCGTGATTACAGTATTTATTAGCTTTATATAGCCCTATAATTCTGTGATTTAAGTATTTCTTAAACATATAAAAAGTTGGAGAAGAATTTCATTGGAAGAGAATAAGAAGGAAAACTAAGACAAGCCTGGAAGGGCCCCCTGGATGTATAATGCCAAGCTAAGGTGCTGCAGTCCAGCAAAGGCAACCTTGTTTTGTGCAAGGGTGTGGTAGCTACCAGAAGAATCCCTCGGAAGTGGTGAGCTGGACAGACTAGAGGAGGAGAGAAATTCTTGAATGAGATTAATGGAGAAAGAAGCAAGGGAAAGGGTGGTATAAATATTTCAGAAGGACAATGTCTTTAGGACTGTTACCAGCAGGGAAAGTAGTCAAATACTGCAGTGACTAGGAAAGAGGTAAAGCCATAGGCAGAAACCAGGAAGTCAGAAAGAGATTCATTTTGTGGAAGAATGAAAGTTACATTTCTGCCTCCAGAGCCCATCAAGGGAAAGTATCCAGGTGATTACAAATGCAGGTGTTAAACTCATAGAAGAGGTGGACTGCGAAAGCATCCTGTGGTTAAGCCCTACCTATTAATGCCCATCCTGGCTGCCTCCTTTTCTTTGCAGCCCACAGGAACTTTACCTGGTTTCTCCCCCACTTTACTTTCCCTCATGTTTTTCAGTAATTCCTCACTGCTCACAGCTTCCTTCTGGAGACAGTATCTCCTCTGGTGGCCAGTTTAGAGTTCCCTTCCCCAAACACTCTATTGTTTCATAGAAAGCCTCTCTCTTCCTGCTTAGCTCTCTTTACCTGCATGTCCACATTCCTAATGCACTTGTCACATTGTATTGTGGTTGCCGTTTATCTATTTCCCCTCCGAGACTTTGGACTTTAGGGGACAGGGGATCATTGAAAGTGTCTACATTATCTACTTTACCAGTTTAATAATAATTTATTTAATGAATTAGCTAATTGATTCTTTAATTACCAGGTTTTTCTAATTTTAAGAGTTTACATTTCAAAGCCTCCATTTAAGGAATATGAATGGAACAAAACAATGCAAAACAAATCCACAATCCCAAATGCTGTAGATGAATTTACAGTTTCAAGAACTAGTGCATATTTTTCATATGACAGTGGTTCTCTCCCATATGACAACGGTCAAGCGGATCATAGCCCAGCTTTATTTTGTCCTTTTTCCTAATGCACTCTCTAACAAAATATGTACAGCTAATCAGAAAAGCAGTATTTATTCTTGGAAATGGGAACAAACAACTTCTCTGTCTTGCCTCCTCTCATGTACATTTTCTCTGAAAGTCTACTGAGATTTAGACCATCAGCATGAAACACTGGAATTTGTATTTGCCTTCCGGTAAAATTGAATCTTTTAAGTCTCAGACCTCCCTATTTCAGCAACATCCATCTCCTACATCTGCACAGATGTCACAGGGGCCTGCCTTCCCAGAAGACACCCTCCTGGGTATGCTGGAGAAGCATGCTACAGCTGGCCGCAGCAGAGGGGATGGAGGAAGGGGCAGGCTGGGTTTAGGACGTTGAGAAGGACATACATGTAATGGATGCTTCTAGAAAAAGGAGCTGGGGAGATCAAACACGTAGGAGGAAATGTAGAAAAAGGCAGTGTTGAAAAACCTCAGGAGAAGAATCTGTGAATCTAGAGACAGAAAGTGGATTCATAGTTGCCAGCAGCTAGAGGACAGGGCAGACTTTGAGGGATGATGAAAATATTCTGGAATTAGTGGTGATGTTGTATAACTTTGTGTACATATTAAAAACCTATACACTTTAAAACAAAAAAATTAAGCCCCACCCTCCCAAAAGAAAGAAAATCCAGGAGGGAAGAGATATCGAGCATGAAAACCTAGTCAAACACGTCTAGTACTGGAGACAGAGACAGTGAAGCCTGACAGAAAGGCTGCAGGGTTTGGTGATCAGGAGGCCGTCAGTGAGCTTAGAGCAGTGTCACAATAACAGCCACTCCTACCTTTTCTTCTTTATGCCCTGTAAATATATAACTTACAAGGTTAATCCTTCACATATTTTTATCTCTATTGGCAGACTGTCTGATGATTATTTGAGCTCAGGGATGCATTTGATTCACCTAAGCTGAAGGGCCATTCTGGGAAACTTTTGGAAATTCTGATCATGTGTGTTCATGTTCACTTAGACATAGTATAAGTGTTTCATTCTTCCTGTCCTTCTAAAACCAAATACATACTACAGGTCACTGCACGTTGCCTCAAATGCAAACATCACTTCTGATGGCCCAAAAAAGAGCAGGTGTTGCCTTCTTTGAATTCTGATAAGAGTTTTCAGCAATATGGCTATTTGGCAAGTTGTTCATGCTCTCCTATGTCAGTCATCGATGGGGTACTGCTGGCCCTGTGACCCGGAGCAGTCACAGATTCTCTCAGCCATATTTACTTGTTTTATAAACTGAGGGCAATATATCTTAATCTGAGCCTCTCTTATGAGAAAATTATGTGGCAGTGTTTTGAAACCTATCAAGCAAATGTAAGCACATTTTTAATGAATGTTATTGTAAAATAGAAAATACAATTAAATCTTTTATTGCTTTTTAGCCCCAAACTGCTATAGGACCAGCTCCCTTAATAACTTGTATGTAGGATCCTTGCCCACGTCATTTGATCCTTAGGTCTCTCTGCCACATACCTTGTCTCTTGAGTCATGATTTCCATTTCTTTGTATTTCTGTTCTATGCTGTAAGATAATTCATTTCTCTGGTCTTCTCAGAGCACTAATTCAGTTCTCAGTAGTGAATATTCCCTTTCGTTCTTCAATTTCTCAGTCAGAAGTCATTATGTATTTTTGTTCCAGGAAGTCATTTTTGTGTCTCAATTAAATGCTCTTGAGGATTTTCCTTCCTTTTTACTTTACTAAAGGCCTGCCTTGCTTAGTACTAATTGGTATTTAAATACTGTTTAAATAAGAAAAATCCAATATACCATGATTGACTTCTCTGTTACTTTCATCTTTTTTTGTTAATGTTCTATTCTGCTCTTCACTTAGGCTTTCCTAATGAGCCTGCTGCAGTCATTGCCCTCAGCACCATCAAGGAATGGCTGGCCAAGGATCATCATAAGGTAGGGGAATAACAAAATCAGCGAACATTCAAGATGGGCGTGATTTGATCCTCAATTTTAAAAAAGCCAGATAAATGTGTTCTGTAAATATCACGTAGATCTAGTCTTTGAGCCAAAGCTAGCTAACCATATTTCATTTGGGTTACATGGGTGATTGAATATTTTCCTGTAATTCATTGACTGAAGGGATTTTATTGATTGGTTTTGGTGGTGAACACATGCAAAGTGATCAGATTCATTTAGCCATGATCTCATTTTTGCATCTTGAGATAATATTGGTTTTGTGTGTAAAAGAGAAAACAGCATAGCTTCCATTAAAATTAAGAATAAGAAACTATTCTATGCTGTTTTTCTTACAGTGTTGTTACCTTTGTTGATGGGGGATTCCTGATATACAGTAATTTTTTGGTATCTTGAACTCTGTTTATAGGTAATCACTGTCATAAAGTAACTTCTGAGTGTGAGATTGAAGTGGGCTTGGATAACTGATAGATAAATAGTCATGATCAGGATTTTTTATGACATGAAATGCTCCCATTAGAGTATTAATCATGTCTTCTGTTTATTTAATAAGATCTTTGGGATATGTTTGGTGATGGACAGGAGAATTGCTCCTGTAAACAAAGCATAATAAAAGTAAAGACACCATGGAAGCTTAGATTTCAGAGGTTCGGCGATTAACATGTTGTGAGACCAGATAGGTTTCATTCAAAGGCCGATCTTGTATGTTTTCCTTCTCAGATAATCACATGAGTGCTGTAAAAAATTATGTTCCATCTATGATGGACCATTCTTTTAGCTTTTTCCTTAGGAAGAAGATGGATTATTTGGAAATGTTGGTTAAGGAAACTATGGGAGTTTTCCTAATGAAAGAGCTCTTGGTGCCTTTGTGTGTTTAAAGAAACAGCAGTGTTGTTTTCTGCTCATTTCTGTAATTTCAAGATTTGTTAAACAGGTTTGAACATTGTTAATCTCAACTAGAAGTAAGGACCACATGGTCAAACATACCTACTTTGGGGCTTGCTCTTCCCTCTCACTTTGAAAGGTATATATGTGACAACTTCAATTTAGAGGCAAACTTTCATAATCTCAAAGAAGCAGGGTTAAAAAAAATAACTATAAAACAGTCAGTTTACAACCATGTCTTCTACATGAATTTTTCACAACAGTATTATGAACCAGCCAGGGTAAGTATTGTTTTCCTCATCTAGAATCAAAAGGTTAAATGACATACTCAAGATTTCAGAGTCACAGAACCAAGAGTGTGTGTGACTCAGCCCTCCAGACTCCAACAGCACTCTTCTTGAGTGTTCTTAAGGCTAGGGAAAGAAATTCAGTCCCTTTGAAAGCTTGTATCTTCAATGTATCTCTTGGTCATAGTAAAGGCTCCTTACCTGGACCATTTGCTTGGCAAAAATGTAGTGTTTCATGATAACTGAACATGAAAAGGGAATAAAAATCATGAAAAATTCATAACTGAGCTAGTGTATTTGTGCAAATCCATCATTTCCACTAAAACAATAATCCAAGGACATTCCCTTTCTGGGCAAAGTTCACATGTGTTTTCTTGGCATGTGATGGAAGTAACCATAACTACACAGGCCATCAAGGAAGTAATGAGGAAGTGCAAATGAATTGGGCACATTTATAGCTCATTGACAATGCTACTGATGGTTTCCCTCTAGTTAAACTATTCAGAAAGTTATTTAACATAGAAATTTGTTAGCTTAGTCTTTCCTGCTTAAAGGTTTTTGTTCTAAATTCCTTACTAGCCTGCTATGTCTTTGAGTCCATTCTTTTGCTTTCCTATCCTTGTCTTTCTCATTTCTTGGGTCTATTTTAGAAAATTTAGATATTTTGGATTGAGAAGCACAGTTCATATTGCCACAAAAGCTTTAAACATAACCTGTTCTATCTAACTCTCTTTTTAAATGTTACTTGTTTCAATATGAATTGGCTAATTTAAACAATTTAATTTGGATAAGTCAGGTTTTACTTAATAAATGAGCTATAAGAAATACTATATAGATAAAAAGCTAACAAATTGATCATCAATATCTGATTTATGTTTTACTCTGTTAAAAAGCAAACAAACTAGGTTAAGGACTTATGAAAGACAAGTACTTCTCATTCAGTCGTCTCTTCACTGCAGCATTGTTTTGACATCCTGATTGTTTGTTTAAGCTTTTTATTCAGTAATTCACTCATTTAGTAAATCTTTATTAAATCCCACTAAGTCCTGGAAACTGTTCTAGGTACTAAGGAAAGAAGACTGAAAAACATAGTCCTTTACTATGATGTTCATAGCCAAGGAAAAGAGAAACATAAATTAAATAAAAAAAGAAATAAGTTCAAAGAGTACATTATAAAGTAAAATGCTAATTGGATAGTGAGTTATTGGGGGATAAGGGTTTAGATAATTTAGAGACTTCTCTAAGGACATAATCTTGGAACAAGGATTTGCATGATGGGAAGGAGCAAGCCAAGCTACACAGAGGTCTTGAGGTAGAACATTCCTCACAGAGGGAACAGCAAGAGAAAAACCCTGAGGGGAGGGAGAAAGAGTTTACCATGTATACGCAATGGTAAGAGAGATGGCAGTTAGAGCAGAGAGATAAAAGGATGGCAGGACACAAATTTGGACCAATAAACAGGAGTCAGATCATAGAGTTGTGGTTCATGCAAAGACTGATTGAGTGGTACACATCTTCATGATTTTTGGTGATAAAATAATTGATGTTGACATGTGATTATTGAGTCTTCACATTTCACCGTTTACTTACTCTCTAGTTTCTAAACCATCAGGAATGGACACTGTTTTTTCTTATTCTTTTTTTTTTTCAAAATGATAGTTAATTTGATTCTATTTACCTGTACAAATCACCCCACCTGTGTGGCTGGACATTTCCACATCCCAAGAGGCCTGACTGCAACACTTGGACCCAGTGTATTGACAAAGAAAAACATGTTCTGTCATTAAGTGTCCACTTGTTCCATTTGTCCGAAGTCTGTGAGGTGCTCTTGTCACCATATATTTAAGGGAAGTCAGGGAGTTGAGGAACCTCAGCTGAACAAACAGTACAGTTGGCCCTGATGGCCTTAGCAGAAGAGATGGAGCAGCACTTTAATGAAAAAAGGAAGGAAAATCCTCAAAAGCATTTAATTGAGACACAAAAATGACTTCCTGGAACAAAAATACATAATGACTTCTGACTGAGAAATTGAAGAACGAAAGGGAATATTCACTACTGAGAACTGAATTAGTGCTCTGAGCAGACCAGAGAAATGAATTATCTTACAGCATAGAACAGAAATACAAAGAAATGGAAATCATGACTCAAGAGACAAGGTATGTGGCAGAGAGACCTAAGGATCAAACATGAGGTGGGCAAGGGATGAAGATCACCCACTGGCATTTTCAACTAAATTAAGAATTAAGAACTTCTGAGTTCAGAAAATCAAAGGAAAACCACCACATCTGAATTAACTATGTAAAATTGACAGCATATGGCATGATAACCTTTCCGTAAATGCCCATTTTTCTCAAGTAAGAACTTTATTACAGAGACAAGTGAGCAAAATAAGGAGCTGCTATGGAAATGAGCAGCAGAAACAGGGCCCAGACTCCTAACTTGGGGTGGCTGGTCTGCATTATCATCTGCACTTTCACGCATTCCTCATTTTTCATGCAGTCTAAAAATATCATTCCTTGTGAAATAGTGATTTCCTCACTCCACAGCTCTGAGGCACCCCTTTGATATCTGGAAGTTAGCCTCAGAAATGTTTTTACAGTGTCTGTTCTATTGTTCTATGCCAGCGACTCATATGGCGTCTAGCTAGTGCTCTCTGGGCAAGGTACATACATGTAATTTTTTCCATAGCAAGCAGAAGAACAGGATGTCTTTCACTTCTAAAAGCTTCATTTAGCTTGATAGTGTGATACATATCCCTGTTATGGACATCATGTCTAGCGCTTTCAAATACCCCAAAGAAGCAGGCATCTTGTAACATAGAGGGCATTTGTGTTAAGTCTTCCAGGCAGTCATCTTAGTGGGTAGGGAATCCAAGATGCAGATCCTGAGCTGCACGATCGGTGGATTCTCTGGGTGTTTTTAAATGTGAAAAACCTGAAGTGCTGATTAGGCCTTAGCTGTAGTGTGACACAAACCCCTTCCCTCCCGAGACCAATAATACAGCAGCAGATAGGTGGGCACAAGCATCGCATTCTGGGAGTCTAATGGAGGGTATGGCTGTGTGTGTGGCTATCCAGGGGGGAAGCCATGGCTTACCTGAGACCAGGCCCCAGCTGCATCTCTGAAGATCTCTGAGGATGGTACTTCCCAGATGTCTTCCCCATTCAGTCCCTCCATGGGAGTTTTCTAATCTCCCCCCTCATGCTGACACACCTTCTCCTCCACAGCAGGCCCCCTTCTTCTGGGGAGGAATAAATCAATGGAGGAGCCTTTGGTTCATCTTTGAACACCCCTCATGGGCACCTGGCTTGACTTGAAAATCACTGGCAGGGAAGAACTCCCAGCTCTGCATTGTCAGAACCAAAATCTATTTTCCTCTGTGGAGGAGGAAGGTGGACGCTTTCTTTCATTTCATGAAGATGTTTGGGCCTTTGCCTAAGATACAATATTTTTTAATTGTTCTTTTAGCATAAACAGATTGTTGTCCAGAATGTTAAATATCATTGACTTGTCATTAAAATTGTTTACTTGGTACCGTCTGAGGGAAACACAACACCTGTGGTATTGCTGAGTGTCGCTGTGGGTAGTGTGTCTGCAGAGGCTGCCGGGACACTAGTGTATACATCGCGACGGAGACCCAGCTCTGCAGCTTGCTGCTAGCCAAGGTCTCAGACCTTCCCCACTGTGTCCAGACCTCAAGGTCAACTGATGGTAGCCGGAGGAAATACTGGTTTTGAGTAGGTGTCCTTTAGAAGTAAAGGTGTTGGTTTCCACGGTAGGGAAGTTGTTACATGGTTCCTCTCCCCC